CCAAGGCATGAATATCAACTTATCACGTCAGTTGAAAAAATGAGACTTGAATGTCTGAAGATCTGAGATTTAAATCCCAGCAAGCTCTATTTATAGAGCTTGTAATCTGTGAAAAAAGGGGAGAATCGAAAAAAAAAAAGAAAAAAATTCAAAAAAGAGCTTTCTATAAAAAGAAAAAAACAAAGCCATTTTACAGAAACCGTCACCTAGAACGGGGAACCTAGCGCCAGAGAAGCTACCTACAAAAAAATTAATTTTAGTTAAAAAAATCGAAAGTTTGAGCCCCGATCTACACTTATCATGGCTGTTTCTGGCGAAAATAAGGTCGAATCTGGAATGAAGACGAAAAAAGAAAGCTTTTGAAAGATTGTGGAATTTTTCGACCACTGGTGACGGTGACTAGTGATCGACAAACGGTGACGACGACAGCGAAGATGGACCGACCGATAATTTTTTTTCTTTTTCTAGTTGAGTAAAAAAAAATTTTTTTTCTGCTGAAGGAAAAGAATGAATGAAAAAAAAAATTTTAACTTTTATATAGAAGACTAAACCCAAAACGACGTCATTTCAATAATGCCTAAAACGACACCATTTTGAGACCTGAGGATCTGCGCATCAACTTGTAACTCGACTTGAGATCCGTACAACCGACCCAATGACCCGTGCTCCCCTTTGACCCTGACTGGTCCATCTGAATCGAACCGCGCCCGAACCGCTGAACCAACCTAGACCAAACTGCTGACGTTGAACCGATCAAACCAGTCCAGACCTGTATTGATCGGTTCGGTTCAAGTAAAAAAAATATTTTTTAAAAAATTTTATATATATTATTTTTGTTATTTTAATTATTATTATTGATATTTATGCATGTAAAAATGTTTAAATTTATCAAATAAATTTTTATTGTTTTATAATATTAATTAATAATATAAAATTGATAAAAAAAATAAGAAAAAGAAATTTTATCCGACGATAAGATTCAAAGTTATTTCGAGTAGTGATGCCTACGAAATCTCTAGGTGCGAAGATTTTTTTTAAAATACTATCAGTGTATTGGAGTATTTATAAAAAAAAATTTTAATACAATAAAAATTTTCTTTTTTTTTTAAGTAATAAATAAAAATTGATTAATAAATTAAAAATATAAATAATAAAAATGAGAAGAAAAGAAATTTTATCCGATAATTGGATTCTAAGAGTATTCTGAGTATAGATGGTTTAAGAAATCCCTAGGTGAAAAGATTTTTTGTAAAATATTACTAGTATATTAAAATATTTATAGAAAATCTTCAATATAATTAAATTTTTTTTCTTCAAAATTTTAATTAAAAATAAATATTAATAAAATTTCTAACAAAGGAGAATAAAATGTGTGCATAAATATGGTAACATTTTGCATTGTATGCATGACATTTTTTTACGAAAAGTAAATTCGAGCCTCCGAGGATGAGATTCTTAGGTATTCCGAGAAGCAATACCTAAAAAATCTCTAGGTGAGAAAAAGTTCTTCTAATGTTACCAACGTACTGGAACATTTTAAGAATTATTTCAATAAAAAGATTTTAATTTATTTTTCTCGAGAATAAAAAATTTTTTTAATAAAAAAATCAAGAAAAATTATTTTTAAATACCAAAAATTAGACTATTTTTATCAAAATCAAAGGATAACACGTAGTTAATTGGTATCGTTTTTTTACGGGCGTTGTGGGGGTGCTAATCCTTCCCCACGCGTAATCGACTCCCGAACTCAGACTGTTTCACAGAACGTAAAATTATTTTTTTAATTAATTTTAAAACTTTATTAAAATGATATGTTTTAATAGGTGGCCAATCGCACATAGCCAAAAGAAGATTGGTGGCGACTTCGTTATTTTTATTTCGTTTCTAAATTCATCAGGCGGACACAAAATCGTTACAACACATCTTAGAGCCTAGGGCTCGCACTACCCACACACAATATGAATAACATGTTCTATGCTTGAAATGCCCACACACAACTCCAAGATCACTGTCTCTACAACAAGGCCCCGTTCGCTGTATAGTACAGGACTAGTCATGGCAAGATTGAGGCACACCAGGGCTTGACCATAGCATTCTTCCCTACTTACTATGTCAATGCCCTCATCGACACCAAGACCACAACTAACTCTCTTGTTGTACATAGTTGATATTTTCTCATATGTCTCTCACTTGTGCCCTTAAAAACTGGGTCAATATCTTGTCACATGAGACACTGCCCATAGTACTCATTCATTGTTGATGTAAATAAGTCTCATCCAAGCTCCACTGCACCTCTGAGCAGTTTCCACCTCAAACCATCAAACTTTATCTCAGTTACTCAATATGTGCCACTACACGATTTTTTCCATAATCTTATAATATGTTGCGACCTCAAGACACCCTCATTAATCATGGCCCTTAGTCAAATGAATGACAACTTGTTTTGCCACACAATGGTGTGCCTTGCTAGACAAGACCTATCACACCAACCACACACCTACGGTACCAACTTTTCGATATACCTTTCTGGATGTGGTGTTTAGGTCAACTACACTCATACGGCACCACCCACAATAGACCCTAGCATGATGGCATTTAAGCACTTTGATCATCTCACAACTTGGGTCCTTTCAGCCTCTCCAAGTTCACTTCTCCAATTGTGGCCCTCTAGCCAACCACCCTCGTGGTGGTGCCTTAATGCATGCTACCTCAAACTCAATTTTAGACTCAAACACAGTGCTTAATAAACACGTAAATTGCACTGCCTTGGTTCAATTCCACAAGGAATCAGACTTCTCCCCCACTTTTACTCAAATTTAGGTCAACACTACACACAACCATGTCTCCACAAAGGTTCCACAACTCGTTTGGCTTGACTCTCACTTAGCTCATAAGGCACTTCAAAGCCTACTCATCTCGGGGATCCATTGATCCAACTCTAAACACAAGGTCACTTGATCGGTTTAAACTCAAGGTTCACCAACCCATTTAGTACTTAAGGTCCACTAACCTACTTGGACTCAAGGCCATCTCATTAGGAAGCATCTACTCAAACTATTCCATATATGTCTCAATCACCATCGGCTTATCCTTTGCATTACTCAAACTTATCCAGTCTGTTAACCAGATGCATAACTCAAATGCCTATACCATCGGCTTACTCAATCGATTGGTCCTCTAACCAACACAACTCATAAGGCCTTGTTAACTGGCCAATTCTCATTTGCTCATTTCACTAAAATGCACATTGTCGTGGTCCACTAACCACCACATCTCATAAAGCCTTCTCTTTAGGCCAACACAAAGCACGGTCCATTGACTGACATAATCTTATGATCCTTTACCCATAAGAACTCAGGGTCTACTAACCACCCCAACTCGTGGCTTCAATTCTTAACCAACTGAAACTCTTCTGCCTCTGTAGAGTGGCTCTATGCTTAGACCCAAATACTCAACTCGTACCCTACTAAGGCACCTATACCACATAAAAAATGCATGTATTAGTAACTAATCTCAATAAGCTTAACTCATGTCCATTAGAACAAAACTCATTCGGCCCGCATGGCCTTTCACAACACCATTTCATGGTGTATGCCCATTTAGCTTTATGGTCTCAATTATTGTCCACCATTCGAAGGACATTGCATGCCACACAAGCCAACACCTTTTACTAGGCGAGGCTAGACTCTCATACCTTTTCATTTGGCATCCAATAGCTTACTTGAGGGCCTTTCACCTAGGCCAATTTCTTCCACAACATGCATCGTTGGCTCATTCTCGAGCTCTCATAGCCACAGAGCCATATTTGTGTCTCGATAGCTTTCTTTGAGCTTAGCACCATTTTGGTTTATCGCTGCTATGCCCACACCAAGGGTTACTTTAGTCCCACAACTGAGCTAAACATGGATCTAATATCAAAATGTCATGGGCCATGCATTCTTTAGATCAAAACCACATGTTCGTGCAACACTAAGACTACTTATAGTTGATGTTAGCCTTTCGTAAGTTCATTTTCCTATTGACAACTCAATATTGATCCTTCAAGCCGCATGTTCATGAACCTTTCCTGACTCTGACCCTGTAAGGTCATACATTCCCAAACTCATTAAAGAGGAACCTAACTCTCATCAACTCATCAGCCTATGATTCTTATGGTAGCCCCGAGCATCCATCTCTACCCGCAGGCATCAAGGTTCTAAGCACCGACCTTCAAATTTTCATAAGGTCCTGCAGTTTCAATTCTCATAATATTATTACTTTCTAGCATGGTGAGAACCCAACAACATGCCCTCCCTCATCGTATGCAAGCTCTCATGCCAAAATCCTACAAACACAATACAGATGTTGGTTAACAGTTAACTTAGAGCCTTTAGGCTCATCTCATCCCACGAAACTCAATTTTTAGGCCTCAACCTTTAGCCTCATTTTAGACTGCACGCATGTATGATGGACACTCAACATCATGTCCATCCCACTTAGGGGACTCGGGTGTGTTCCCCAACTACAGCACCCCTCTACGAATTAGCCACAAGGGTCTAACAATGTGCATGCCTGCTAGTTTGCTTATCTCTCAAGCTCAATGGTGCCCTTCCTATGCAAACACCATATAATGATCCTTCTGACTCAAGGAAAGGAAATCGATGGGCATAATGAATGCTACCACCTAAGCCCATAGTTCAATGCGGAGGTGTGTTATGAGGCTCACCAACCCCAACCATCATTGGGTTTACCATGATCCAAAAAGACAACGTGCCATACTCATGACCTAATGATGCCCGCCTACCTAGACATCATATGTACCTAGACCCCCTACTGACTAGCCAAATAGGTGATGGAGAGCTGACACCAATCATCACCTTATAAAGAGTGTAAGAGCTTTTCCAGGCCTCCTACTAGAAATCATAAGAATGTCTGAAATTGGGACACTTTTCTCTCCAGCCATCTTAGGGCCTTACTTCACCTAACTCAAGGCCTAGTAACCTTCCTTTTGGTCACCATAATTCTAGCATTTCACTCATTGCTCCATCAACCCACTCGAGGGTGCTAGCACATGGCTTCGACCGATAGCACCTGACTAGCTAACCAACTCCAAGACACCCATCCACTGCCTCGCACTTGCCCAAGTATTTTGGGGCCTAAGGCTCATACTACCCACACACAATATCAACAACATGTTTTCATGCTTGAAATGCTCACACACAACTCCAAGACCATTGTCCCGATAACAATACCTCATTTGTTGCACAACTCAAGGCTAGTCATGATAGGACCAAGGCACACCAAGGCCTAACCATGACACATTGGCTGCATGCCTTCAACAGAAAGACTTTTTCGACAGGCCTTAGGTTTCTTGGCCTTCACAGCCACCCTCTTAACTATAATAACAACAAAAGAATTGCAAGTGAACAACATAAGTCATACAAAATAGCAACATAATAGTACCACAATTTACACTAATGGTAGCATGCCACTAAACAAGAAAATGGAATATTTACATCCTTTGCCTTAGAGAGCCACATCTTCATTCTCTTTGGCAAAGGCCCCATTCCAACCTTTTTCCTCGTCCAATACCCTTTGGACAATAGTAGCCAGTTGCTCATCCTCTCCTAGGAGAAGGAAGTAATCCCGGATGTTCTCATGCATAGCCACCTCTTGGTAAGAAATTTGAACCTTCCTCAAGACATGAACCTATTTGGCCTCATCTTCCCCAAGTTCAAAGCCCTGCAGGAAGTGATTCCATGAGAGCTTTTGCAATTCTAACTTTCGCAAAATGTTGCCCATATCCATAATCTTGAAAAGCAACAACATGATTATCATCAAAGGTTAATTAAACCGATATAACATCATATACGCTTCAAACACCTGCTGTAGGCTGTCAACTCAAACTTGTAGAACCAACTCATCAACTACTAACTTCATAAACAATTGATTAATAACTTAATTACCAGTTGCAGCTATGATTGCAATAGCAAAGCCAAATCGCAAATTGTAATTAAGTAATGTAGAGATTTGGACCAAATCTTGGGCATGACTAGTGAAGAACCCAAATCGGCCATGATTGGAGTGAAGACTGAAATGAAAAGCAAAAGAGAAAGAAGTAAGGTAAGGGATAGAAGAAGTAAAGAGAAAAGAGAAAGGGTTTCTGGGAATGTTTCGGATTTTCAGATGAAGAAAATTGGACATACTGAGGTTGAGGAGAAAAATAACGCTTTTAACGATTTACCAATTAAAAATATTCAAAATTTCATTCATTTAATAACTCCATACATATTTTCTAAGTTTTTATGATTGCCTAAGAAGAAGGATATCATCAGAGCTCCCGATATAGTGAATACTTTGATATTAAGCTCTAGAGCCACCCGTTGTTGTTCTTGGTTACCGAAGCTATTCAAGACCCCAGATCTGCCCACCAAATTCTTGTGCTTCTCAGATGACTCAAGCTCCATAGGTTGGTCTGTTGGTAAGTCATGGTTTATTGAGGAGCCAAACTCTTCCAAAACAATGGTCGTGATATCCAACAGCACCTTATTAAATCCCTGCTTCATTTCTTCCAATGTTTCTTCCATTACTTCAATTTTTTTTCCACCTATCGAACAAAATAGCATTGATTTCCTTACGAAATTTATCATTTACCATAGTCAAGATCTTAAGCTTTGATACCAATTGATTCAAACCGAATGTAACAGAGAAGAAAATTAGCTTCTGCAGCATGCTAGAAACAGAGAGAGAGAGAGAGTAGAGGAAATAGAGGAAGAAAGGTAGAAGAAAGAGAAAGGCACATCTTGTGACTGTATTTTATTCCAGAAAACTCCATTACAACAGTTACCTCTAGCTAAATATCCATCACAGGTTCTGACTCAACACATAACTAATCCCTCTAGCTAAGGACATGATACTAATTAACAGACTTAAAATATTTGCTTCTTGGACTGATACGCAAGAGGCCCAACTCTCTAACTCCAATATCAATCCATCATTAATTCACCCGTAACATGGGTAAACTTGATCTCTTCAAGTCGAAGTGGTGACACGGCGAGCGACAAATGTTTTCCCCACTTGGGTCTGCTTATCAGTAGCACCTGCAATTTATACTGTCAATTTGAACCTGTTAGTTATTACTAGGAACTGAAAAACACAAATCAAATCGAATCAAGACGTGAAAGCACTGATCAATTCATTTTTAGAATTCCGATTTTAGGAAAGAAAAGAAGAGAATATCAGAGAAAACACAAAAAAGAAAAAAAACCTAAACAACTCACCTTTTATTTTTAAAATTATTTGGAGTGTAAGGACAATATTAAAGGCCTAAACAGTAATTCCCATTAGTTCACCGGTGATTAGTAGTACAAACAAATTGAATTGTTTAAACAGCTATTTGTTGAGCTAAGGAAAAGCAGGTCCCGCAGCAAGAAAGGATGCCCTCTTCACGAACCTCCCTTTCATTCGAGGCCTCTTCTCCGCATTCAGTTTGCGAACCTCGTACCTTATTTTCTTCGAGAACAACCTTGTTCTCCGCTTTTCTCTGTACCTTGTTACTCGTGCTTCTCTACCTCCATCCCTCACTGCCTGGTGGCCTCCCATTCCAATATTCAAATCACTATAGCTGTGCTGAACTTCTGTTCCACCAGTTCCCTGGAAATTAAAACAACATCTTGTAATCAGCAACAGTTTTACGGCTAGAAAGTTATTCATATGAAGCAAGAAAAATAATGAGAAACTAGAAATTAGCTGCTGTAGTATTGTTTGAGGTTAAGTTTTAAGTTCTCAATTTTTCCTTTTTGTGATAAACTATGCAGTGAGGCATTAATTATGCAGGATACACAACATCTATATGCGTCGTTTATTATTGATATGGGAACATTAAGTAGAAAGCTACCGTGCAATCAGGCCAGCATTCGTCTGGGTCAAAATCTGGTCGGCCACCAGAAGTCCATGGAGACCCTTGGGTTGCCCAGGCAGTGATTACCGCTTCATAATCCAGGCTCAAAAGTATCTTCCTCTTCTTCTTTTTTGCAGTATCCTCCTCAAATTCCCCATCCCTATTACTCTTCACTGTTACCACCTCCTTTACTAATTCATCCCCCTCTCCACAACTTGCTGGAGAATCATAGTTAAAACTCAACTCAAAGGGTTCTCTAGCCATATCGATTTCAGAATCGACATGGCACTCTTTACCAGCTTCAAAACACTCTTCGTCTTCAATCTTCACTTCACCATTTGATAAGGAACAATCCCTGAAGTCCTTCTCTTTAGAGTCCATCAGCCCCAGCTGCTCCATGGCAAAGGACTCATTTTCCAGGCCCTTACCAAGCAAACTCTCAACATCAGCTGCAAACTCTGCAAGATCCATCTCAGACGGGAAAAGCCCATGTGAACCATCCACGTTTTCTCCCTTACAAGCCAGGAAAGCTTTAGATTCACTCGCAGCGGCATCAGTTGTTTCAACATCGTTTCCTTCAGCGCTCACAACAGCCTCATTTGACGTTGTAGAAGTGCATAGTTCAGCAGCCAAGGGATCAAATATTGGTACCCTATAAAGAAGCTGCTCCTCTTCGTTTTCTTCATGCGATATCTCGTCAGCACCAACTTCAGGCACAAGAGGAATTGGATTGTTTTTCTTTATCGTAAGCTCAGCTATAAGTAGCTTTTGATGAATAGAAGGCTTCGCGGGTCGCCTTGTCCTTGCCTTTCTGGTAAACCCTTTATCCCATGATGGTGAAAAGCTCTCCAAAGGAGCTTCAGTAATTGAGGACTTAACAGAAGAAGTTTTCAGGCGAACTCTTTCATGTCTACGAGCTAGTGGATTCGCCGAATGAACAGAAGAATCGCAGGCTTGACAAAGAAAAGCATCATCGGCAGCACAGTACCAACGAGCCCGTTTCTTTATACAGCTATCACAAGCTCTTGCCGTTTTGCCACAGACGGCGTTCGCCACATTTTTGGTAGAAATCATGGAGCTAATATCCCGACTGGTCCAAATTAAACAAAAGCTGGGATTTTAAAAGCAAAGAACAGGCATAGAAATTAATCTAAAAAATAAAAATGAGAGACTCCTTAAAGTGGTACAATTATTTTGTATACGGTGGGGAGTGTGACCAACAAACCGCTCTTTTACATCATTTTCAACGGCCTTTGGATGCACTTTTGGGTTCTTTTAGCAATGATGTGTTGCGCTTTTTGGGTCCACAACAAGAAGGCCTTATCTGGATTTTCATTGGTTGAGACTGGAAAGTTCATCCTGATCTTTGTCTTCCCATTGGCAAACTCTCTAATCTAGGGATTTCTTGTGGGTCCCAAGTGCCCACGATGAGAATGAGTCATTTGATCCCATCTACTCATTTCTCTGTCATTCTTTTTCCCTCTTGCTCGAAATTTGAATGAGACCCCTTCGTTGCTACGTCTTCCTCCTGCTGCATTTTACTCAGTTCAGATCCCTTTTCGCGGTCCCCTTCGGACTTGCCTTATCCATTTCTCTCTTTCTCAAGCTTTGGCTCCTCTCTCAGTATATCTCACTGCAACAGGGTCATGCAAAACCAATACAATCTTCATACTTTAGTAACTCTCGTCCACTCTTCACCATAGCCATTATGTTCTTTTCACTAAAACCAAAGAAACCCAAGTACTATTGTTTGATATTCATCAAAATAGACACGTTTTGTGCACTTTTTTTTTTTGTCAAAGCAAGTTTTGTGTACATAAGTATTGATTCAACAGCAAATAAATACATTTTTTGCTGAAAGAGTCGGATAATAAATTGAATCCTGTTACTTTTAGAAAAAAAATAATAATAAAATAACAAGATGACACATGAAATAGATACATTCACAAATTATAATTAATCTCCATTTTAGTGCATAAATTGATACACAATTTAGACGTGTAATTTAGACTTTTTTAAGTAGTAAATGAAAAAGACCATTGTTGGAATATATGTGGAAAAAGGAGTCGATGGCTTGGCAAATTAAACGATGAAAAAGATAAGAATTTAGTTTAGCTATGGTTTTAGGTTTTTAGCATGTAAGCTGAAGGGATCAAAAGGAAATTGGATAAAGGTGATGTGGAGATCTAATCCTAAGTGCCTCAAAATCAAACTCAGAATATAAAATTTCTGCTAAAGGATAAGGCGATCTAACGCGGAAATATCAGCTTTGATTATTCGTCGGCTTGAAAATGACTCGCTTGTATGGTGCCTTTTCCTGCAGTGCTTTTGCGGAAATTTCATGTATATTTACATTTTATGATCACATAATAAATAATAATAATTAAAAATTACAGTTAAGAGGAGATAAAATTAAAGTTTATATTTAATATACTGTTAATATATAAACTCTATACATTATCAATAACTTAGATAATATCATTTTATTAATGAATGTAAATCAATCCTTAAAATAAATATATCAAAATTAATTTTTTAAAAAAAACTTGTTCATTAATAAAATGATATCATCTAATTCATTTTATTAATGAAATGAGATTTAATTCATTGATAGTGTATAAAATTTATATACTAACAGTATATCAAAAATATATATTGATAGTGTATTAAATATAAATCCATATAATAAACCATTGTCATCAACAGTGCTTGAAAAGTACTTGAAAGAACTAAATTTCCATTGAAATATTGAGATTGGGATGTTTGACAAATTAAGAAGAAACCAAGTACGTAGAAGTAGAACCAAGGCTAGGTATCCTCCCGGTGTATTGCGTTGCTATCATGCAAATGTGTCGAAACTCATAAGTTATCCAATCCAAAGGAACATGACCTGACTGAAACTTGGCCCAGTCCAATGTTCCGATTAGTGAGTTTTTTTTTTTTTTTTTTTCTATCTTTGTTATTGACCTTTTTTTTATTTGTTTATTTTATTATTTTTAATAAATAATCAAATACTAATAAGATCAATAAAATATATATATATATATATATACACACATGTGCGTGCAAGCACATACACATAAAAGAAAATCAAATGATCCAAAACACTAAATCAATATCAGGAATTCAGATTAACATTGAAATAGATAATACTAAATCTACTAATATTCTTACACGTACAACGAAAATGAAGAATAGTTGGGAAACAGAAAAAGAAACTTAGATTTAGAAAAATTGCTATTGCAGGCAACAACGTTTAAATTATAAAGAGCAGCAGCTTAATGTATAAAGTGCGGCTACAGCTGAAGCTATGAATTCACTGACCTATCTTCACTTGATAAGATCCCTTCTTTCAAAGCCTTCGATATGGCTCGAATGGTGGCTGGTGTTGTCCGACAACAACCCCCAATTAGTTTAGCTCCTAAGTCACGCCATCTCATTGCAAAGAACTCAAATTTGTCATCACCAAAGCACTTTGATGGCTGTTAATCAAAGAAAGTCAGTCCATTACAGTGGACACAACGCAACATGTTTTTGTCTTAACTAATAGTAGAGCAATCGACTTACCATCCATTTCTTAGCCCTAGCATCCCATATCTCTCCGCTATTTGGATAAACAACAATTGCCTTGGTTGTCAACTGGAACAATGAGAGGTTACGGCTAGAATCATTCATTTATTCCTTTTCATTGAAAAAGAACTGAATTTTATCTGAAAAACAGACTCTAGATTATCCGCCCATTGCTTGAAGGAATTTACCTCCTTAAATTTGCAGACAAGGCTTTCAATAAAATGGGGAGGTGCACAATTTATACCAACTGCATTTACTTTCTCACTCTTGTTTAATATGTCCATCAACTCCTTAAAACTTTCTCCTGATGGAGCATTCTCACCATCAACAGAACTGAAGCAGATCCATGATGGAATTTGAATGTTTTCTTCCTCAAGCAACTCAACACAGGCCTGCAAGTGGAGATAGAAAAACGTCGTCATCCTTTGAAGGGAAAATCCAGTGAAGAGGAAAATGAATATAAAAGAATATTACTTAGAGCATCACAACACCAAGACAACACTCTGCAGTAGCTTAAAAAGAGGTAAGATGTAAACGGCTATGAATAGTATTCTGGTTGCATTTTTAATGATTCTGGAGAATCGTTTCATAAGAATAAAAATTTTCAAAGAAAATATGTGCAACATTTTAGTCATAAAGTGTAATTCGATTGTTAAACTTTGGAATCACTGTGCATTAAACATGCACAACTTATTGCTGGATGGCTTTGATTTTAGAAAACATTGCAGAATATATCAATGATACACCAGAAACTTGAAAAGCAAATGAAGAATATGAGTAACTTTTGACAAGTAAAGCATAGTAATCTTAAAAGAAGAATTCATTTGCTATTTCCTAAAATTGCAAGAGGAATCACTGAACTTGAAATGCTCTTATTTTCTTGTTCTTTAAATAAGGAAGAATTGGAAACATAAAGAAAAGCTAAATATTTCACTCCATAAAACTAAAGGTTCTATTTGTCCTGCCAACTTGTAGGATCATAAGAATTAGTACTTGCAATTGATGAACATGATAGTCTTAAAATAGAATTGATACACAATCATTACAGTACATTCACTAACCATAGTTTGCAACCAACCTACGGTCATTAAACAAATTAACATTCTGCTACATTCTCGATCAGTATATATGATACATAATAAATTAAATAACTAGATGAACAAACCTGAGTTTCAAGTTTATTGGGAATGGTCTCAAAGGCTAGCAAATCTGGACCTGCTTCAACAAGAACTTGCAATCTGTGCCGGTGAAAATCTTTGAGCTTATCCAGATTTACTTCTGGTCCATAGTATCCACTGACAGAAATGACAGAACAAAAGCAGGATAACATCATCATGTTAAGCTAATGAAAGATGTCTGATATCTTAAAGATTTTGAAAATGTTTAAGTTATAAAAGTTTTTGGAACCTGTATTCTGAACCATCAGCCAGATATGCTCCATAACTTCCAATTGAGGCTGCAACCAAAGCTCGGTTGTAGCTATTTCCTGGAATACTCCCTCTAGCATCCCAGAACTTATCACGGGCTTCCACAGCCAATTTGACACTCTTTTCTAGTAATGACTCCCCTTCTTCAAGGGACAGTCCTCGAGACAGGAATCCAGGAATGGTGGCCTGTGAATATAAATAGAGACAACTATTAGAGTAAAGGACTGGGAGGAAAATCAAAATTTTAAAGTAAGATGAACTCCAGCTCTTGTTTTTGGTAGCAAGGAATAATCAGCTTCAGGAAGATTAATTACTAACATGCAAAAGCAAAACCATAGTAATTGTTCTTTTTCTTCAGCCTTCATTCTCAATTCTTAAGAAGAAAAGGTAATCAAATATGGAAAGGCTGAAAAATTACAATTAAAAAGAGGTATATCATTTACAATCAGCTCATATAAATTATTCTTCCTACTGTGAAAGAAGGCAAGTTCGCACAAAGATATGTTTATTGTGTCCAGGGAATCAGTCATTGCCAAAGAACTCAAATACATGATAACTGCAGAATTTTCTGTTTGAATCATTAATAAGCCAACTTACGGGAAAATAAAATAACAGGAAATTTTTCATCAAATTTCACATTAAAATATTCTCCACATTCACTCAGACTAAAAAATGAAGAAAAATAAGAATGGTTCACTTTCATCAAGAGGCATCTGAGAAAGAGGCTGACTTATTGCATTGGAAAAGGAAGCATACAGTTAAGATATTTCCTAATCACTTTTATGAAGCTTGCCGCAACCAAGCTGTGCAATAACCCATCTATGGCTAGCTAGAAATTCCTCAGGACCAGTCTTGGCACTAGGACCCTATTATCTATTAAAATCAAAGGCAACTTTTTTCACCAGATCATTACCAGGAATAGATAAAAGGCAGATCATTCATTCGCCATTTAGCCTAACAAATCAATTTCTTTGGCTCAATCTGAAAACAAAAATTAACAAATACAAAAAGAAAAAAAAAAAAAAAACACTAATTAACAAACCTGGTAAGATGAAGTAACCAAGATATCTGCACCAGCCTCCAGATACTCAAGATGAACCTGCAAATTTGAAAGAGTCCACATTGATCAAAATTCTAAAACCAGATTTTAAATGATAGACCCTGTTTTATAACGTATTGTCAGAAATCCGAACAACCTCATATTTCTCTCAAAGCTCAGAGAGAAAAAGAGAAAGAAAAAATGACAGAAGGGAACCCGTTTGATAAGGTCAGGGTCTTTGATCAAGCAAAGAGCGCTCCAAAGCGGGTCATTAATCATAGCACCATGATTCTCAAGCTGAGTAGCAAAACCCCCATCGATCACAGCACAACCTCCAGCTTTGTCTATCAAACCTTCCAACAATGACGTTCCCTTTTCAAAACCCATCTTTTCTTTTATGTTTATGTATGCCTCTCCTGCAGAGTTCTCTGTCCTTGGAGATCTTGCAAAAGCCTTATCGGCGAAAAAGACAAAGGTTGGTTTGTTCGTTGCTTGTGTAGTACGTTTCTGAACGCGGACGAATTAAAGTTTAAGACTAGGGTTCTTTAGGAACAGAAATTTTTTTTTTAGTAGAGTTTGGTTATAAAGGTTAAGATCTCTTCTTTCTCATTTTTTTTTATATAGGACTTTACCTATTTTAGTTGTTACAATACCTACCACCAAATAATTTTTTTTAAAATAAAAAAATTCATGAATAAATAAGTAATTTAATTTTTATATCAAAATAAAATATATCATACCTAACAACTTAAAATAAATACATTCGATATAATTCGAATCAATTTTTATTATCATATTATTACAAGAGTTTTCCCATTTCCCATGCTATCTTGCTCAATATTCCATCTAGATACATTAAACAAAAAGCTTTCTCTCTTTGGAAAAATGAAAACAAATTCAAACCATTTTGATTTAATGTTTTTTCCTCGATAACCAAACTACATAATTATTATGATCCTGTTTTTCTAAACTTTTTTTATTTAATCATTGATGAAAACATGATTCACTAAAGTTGGACAAATTTTGAATAGAATTAAAGGGTAAATTTACCACCATGGACGGTTATTGAAATTTACCATTTTATTTTGCTTTGATTGAAATTTGTCACTATCTTTTTTTTTTTTATAATTTTTAGACCACATTTAATGAAAATAAAATGTTTCGTTAAATATTCCCTTAGTATATTTAAAATTAATTTTAAATAAAATAAAATTATAATATATATTCAACATGTAAAAATGTATATACCATGAGTTTTTTTTTTTTATGAAATTTATACTAAAACAAATATTTTCCAAATATTAAATTTAAAATAATTTTTTTAAGAAATAAATTTTAATTTATCAAATAAAAAGAAGTATGGTAAGAGGTAGGGAGAAAAAGCAATTAAGAAGGAAATAAGATGGAGATTAAAATAAAAATATTTTGTTATTGAGGTTATATTTCTTATTATATTTTGCAGACAATTAATGATTCATTGTATAAGTTTTTTTTTTTTTAACTTTTAACCTACCTTTAAATCTTTTTATCCTATTGCTTATATAGTTTAAGAGCTTATTACGTACATAAATTATTTTGAACTCATATTTGTCATGCACCAACTTCAAATATAAGTTATATTTTTATTAAGTTATATCTTATTAACACTTGACTTTGTAAATATTTTGGTGCTAGCAAATTTTAGGCTCCTAGTTTGAGAAAATATTTTTAATTTTTTTGCAAATAGTTTTTATTTTCTATTTTTTGTTTTTTTAAAAATGTATTTGCTAAACAAAAATTAAAATTGCTTTTTGAAAATGTAAAAATAAATAAATAAATAAATAAAATGTTCAATGATATTACTATTAATGTCATCTAATTATAAATATAATATATATTTATTAATGAATGACATTAAAAAGTGTTCAAATATGATAACTTGTAAAGTATAAAGAAAAAAGTAATGTACATCCCTTATTTTCACAATTAAAAATATATATTCTTTGTTTTCATATTTCAATTCATTTTCATTTTTGTTTTTAAAACTTTTTTTCATTTTCGATTATCAAATATGTTTTCACTTATATTTTTCATTTTCTAAGAAAATGAAAATAGAAAATGATTCTGTTTTCTAAAATCAAATACTACTTTAATTTCTAGAGTAAATTTCATAAATATATCATGTGGTTAAGTCAGAAAAAAAGGTGCCTCCTGAGTTCAAAACGTGACATTTAAATACTCTATAATTTGTTTTATTATTTTTTTCACCTAAAATCGTTACTTTTTTGTTTTTTTTTCTTTATTTTTCATTTGAATTTATATTCTCTCTCTAAAAATTCATTATCTCTCTCTAAAACCAAACCAATTCTCTCTTTAAACCTAAGTCAATCTACAAATAGCAACCTTCAAATCACCAAAATCTCCACATCACCACCACCACCACCACTATCATTACAAGTTCACACCATCACTAGACTTTTATCTTTTAACTTTCTTCATCAAAAAGTCAAAATCATGGTTCTGCCATAAGTAATAAAAACCTTCTTTCAACATCTGGGACTCCTAAGCTTTCTTAACCTCTATAACCCAAACAATCCAAAATTTAAGGGCCTTCTTCTACATTTATGTAGCTACTCTTAATCATTGCATAAGGATTATTCGACATCTTAATGGATCTATAGGCTATCAAAAACATTCATACAAAATAGTCTATGACAACATACAACCAGAAGAATTGCCTACTATGGCATCTAGTAAAGAGAAATCTGAACTAGTGGGAAAGAATGGGATTCTTATTTTTAGCCAAAAAAAATTTTTGATAGTAAAAAGCAAACCTTCTATCAAACATCCCTTTGATGACCACATGAGTTATAATTCAAATGGTTTTATTGGAATTTGAAAAATTGAACCAAGCGTTTGTCTTAGTCTTTTAAATAGTATATGCATTAGCACGGTTTTATGGTGAAGCCAAACAAAATTTCACCAATAAAAAAGTTAGTGAATGTGCAAACAGTGTCGAAAAATCTAGTGAAAGTGTTCAAATAAGTCGAAAGACAAGTATCTATAGAAGGAGCACTAACAATGATGTTAATGATGAAAACAGCTCTAGCTGTTTAAGTAGTGCCATTTACAAACCCCACAAAGCAAAAGATATAAGATGGGAAGCAATTCAAGTTGTCAAATCTTGGAAGGGAGACTTGGACTTTAAGCACTTTAAGGTTAAAAAAAAACTAGGATATGGGGATATAGACAGTATTTATCTATCAGAATTGACTTAATGGTGGTAGTGATGCAGAGATTTGGTGATTTGAAGTTACTGTTTATATATTAGTCTGAATTTAAAAAGAGAATTAGTTAGGCTTTAGAAAGAGAAAATAAAATTTTAGAGAAAGTATGAACTTTTAGAGAAAAAATATAAATTTAGATGAAAAAAATAAAAAAAGTAATGATTTTGGTAAAAAAAATAATAAAATAAATCATAGAATAATTATATGTCATATTTTAAATCTCAAGGGATACTTTCATTTCAATATTAATCACATGATATATTTTATGAAGTTAACCCTAATTTCTATTGTAATTAGTTCTTGATAACTTTTTCTCTTTTTTTTTCTTTTCATTTGATTTCAATTTTTTTAATTTTTTACCAAACTTCTTTACATTTGATAAAGAAATAATTTTTTTTGAAAACATATTTTAAATTTAATTTTTGAAAAGTATGTTTTAGTATAAATTTCATTAAAAAAATAAGAATTTTTTAATATAACACATCATGCGTACATTTTACATGTTGAATATTCACATATATTTTTATTTTATTTAAAATTAAATTTAAATATACTAACAGAATATTTAACGAAACATTCTATTTTCATTAGATGAAATAAAAAAAAAAAATTCATCAAAATAAAGTAATCAATCGAATCAGATTAATTACAATAGCATGACAGTAAATTTACCCTTTAACCCTTTTGAATAAAATTTCTTACGCGCTTTTTTATAAGCTTCAGTCTTTTTCAATGAAATAGAAAGTAGTGTAATAAAAATTATTCAACTAAAATGGATGTCATATCAATTTATTTTCACTGGACCATATGGGAAAAAGATGTAAAGAAAATCCTTCATGTTGATCAGTGCTTAATTCATTCAAAAATCATCAAAATTAAAAATATAATGACAAAATTCAATAAAATTAAATTATAATGACAATTTTCAATAAAATTGAATTACAATGAGAAAATTAAAATATATTATATTAGCCATTTTATTCATAGATTAAATTGTAAAAGCACAATATCCATGTGTAACACAACAGAATACAAACAAGTCCAAATCTAAGGATATGGCATTACATGACATGAAGAAAAAAAAAGGGAACCAACACAAAAGTTGGTCGGGTCTTAAAAGACAGACATAACGCCCAATTGTTGGTGGCATTTGGATTAATAGTGGTTGGTGACAGGACTGGTATTGACTTGTGCTTGCATTGAATTGAATATGATAATCGGTAAGCAATATAGATAGAAATATATGAAAGGGAAGACCGGATCTTCTTACACAAATAAACTCATCTCCATTTAATATTTTAATTATGAGTAAATGTGAATTAAATTATTTAATTATTATTTTATGAAAGTTTTCACATTTATTGCATTAATTTTTATCAAATTCAAAATAAAATAATGCATTAATTGTATTTATTTAAATATATAATACTGATTAACATTTTCCTTTAATTAGTACTTTGAAATAAATATTTGAATGCGGAAAAGTAAGAGAAACAAACTGCCATGAAAAGGATTTCAACGAGACACCAACCACTGGCTTACCCTATTTTGAAATATTTGCCTTCCATTCGTGAAAATTGAAAATCAGTCCCAAAACCATTGCGTGAGGAGCAGACATAGTCGGATGCATGAAAATTTCATACCTTTTAGGGCTAGTATAATTTAAAGGAAAAAGAAAATTTAAAACATACCCCACCGTCAAAGGGCTTCTCTCTCTCTCTCTCTCTCTCTTTGTTATATGTTGTTTTTAAAATATATAATTTTATTATGTTTTATTAGTCGGCAATTTATTCCCAAAAAAAAAAAAAAGTCTGTAATTTAGACCGTGAAGCTGGCAACACGGTTTTCTCTACTGCAGCATTCTCTCTTTCACGTTTTGTAGCCAGCAGATGTGGCGCACACACGGTCGCGGTGCCATAGTCAAAGAAAAATCTTAAATATGCTCCACCGACGTAGATTTTTAAATTTGTTTTTTCCCCCACCATCATTTGACTATTTTATTAAATGCCGATCAATTGCCAACAGAAGTGATTCACTACAGGAAATTTATTTTTTTCTCCAATTTTTTTTGTTTTTTAGGTTTAGCAACATTTATAAATGTTATTATAAGGTCATCGGCACTTACCAAATCATCACTAAATTATTTTCGTATTGAAAAATTTAACGGTGTTTCTTTTTCTCTTTTATAAAACTATTAGTATTGATTATTTTCGTATTGAAAAATTTAACGGTGTTTTTTTCTCTTTTATAAAACATCATCCGGCATTTTCAGTACATTTAGCAGCATTTCTTAAATAACTTGAAACATAATTTTAAGGTGAGATTTTTTATTT